CAAATGGGGACATAGACACTTGGCGATAGTTTCTGATTCCACTGAGGAGGCCTCTGTGGAAGGGACAGGTTAAAGGACACTCAGAGTTGCCTCTTCCTTTTGAGTGCTTTGCCACCAGGGATTCGGAGGTCACAAGTGCTGTCCGCGCACAAACATTAGCTTGACTCACACACAGTTACTCATCACTTGTCCTGGCCTTTGTCTGCTAATGTGGGAGGGTGAAGGGAGAGGAGGGTAGAGAAGAGGATTTCTGATATGCGCAATCTTCTAGGGAATATAAAGATTTGGCAAAATGCTACCAGTCAGCCAAACAACCTCGACTGGCTGAGTGTGTATTCTACTCTTTAGGCTCAAAATACTTCACTTTCAAATATGAAAGCTAAATTCTAAGTTAGGCAGCCAACGTTCGCAATTTAGGTCACTGTGGAAATGTTCTGAGAGTTTTCCGCTGTGCTCTTACGATTAGCCTGTCTCATTCTTCAGCTCTCCCCGTGCTCAAAATGAGGTACACACAGCATCTTGCTCATGACATGTCGCTAACTGGAAGTTCATAGGCAGATAACCTGCCTTCACGGAGCATCTGAACTCCTTTACACAGCAGTAAGATAATGGCCCTAAAGGTATCAGATCCATTACACTAACAAATGCCTGAGATAAATGGGCACTGTCTCGGTTACTTTTCTCTCAGTGCTGGGACAAAGTACCCGACAATCAAAAGGAAGGAAAGTTTTATTTAGCTCAGTTACTGGAGATTTCAGTCCATACTCCACTGGCTCCAAGGCAGAGCAGCGCATGACAGAGGGCAGCAGTTCATGGAGGCGGAGAACAGCAAAATATCAAGAGCAAAAGGGAGGAGTAGCAGCAACCACAGCAACAGCAGTTGTATTCAGGCTATCTAAACCCAGCTGCGTGGAGCACTCACACCCATATTCTCAGCCGCATTTACACCCATAATCCCAGTAGCATTCACACCCATAATCCCAACACTGGATCCTGAATTAATCACAAACTCTATAGAAGTCTGCCTCATGACTGCATGAGGCTTTGGGGGGACAGCTAGCCACAAATAACAGACACATAGGCAGGAAAGATTTATTTTGGTTCACTGTTCTAGAAGGGTCAATCAAGGATCAGTGGCCCATTGCTTTTGGGTTTGCAGCAAGGCAGATATTATGGTGCTGAGAAATATACTTCATGGCAGCATGAGGCAGAAAGGTAGCATGTAGGGGACTGGAAGACCTCACCCCTTCCCAGGAATTAAGGCCTCATCTTTTCAATATTTCACTGCTTCTCAATGGCACCAAGCTCAAGACCAAGCCTTTAACACAGATTTTGGTGGAAACTTCAACCTACAGCCAAGTTCTACTTGTGGAACCTGTAAATGTTATGCTACATAGAAAAAGGATCTCTACAAAAGCCTATATTGTAGTGAAGTAGGGCAGATAGCAAGTAACTTTGTGCACAAAATTAAAGGCAGAGTGTGTGCCAGTTAAGCTTTAAACTGCCTTCATCCCCAACCCTATAAGTTGTTACCATATTTCTGAGCCTTAAGTAATCATGACAAATATAAATAAATTGATCGTTTTTTAAAGTCACTAAGTTTGGGGGAGATTTCTTATTCAGCCTTAGGTAACTATTATGTTGTTTACAGTAACTAATATATATATATATATATATATATATATATAATTTTTTAAATGTGTTTTAGTACGGGGACTACAGGGTCTTACTACACAAATTGGACTCATAGTGATTCTCCTGTTTTCAGCCTCCCCAGAATTGGGATTACAGGTGTGCACCACCACGCCCAATCTTAGTTGCTGGCTCAGTGTGCCCAGGGGGCGGGGCTGACAGCATATGGTGCTGGGATTGAACACTAAGCAGGAGCTTAAGTCTGCTGAGCTATTTGAAGACCAGAATGGCAGGCATTCCAAGCATGACCCTAGTATTACACATTGCTATCTTCAGGGCAGTTGTTTAGTTCACTGGTATCAGCATATATAGTTAATCAGGGTGAGAATCCTACCAATTAACTGCTAGTTTCAAAAACCTGCTGAAGATTCTCAGGATCACTGCCTTAACTATCTTGTGCATATAAATGTATGGTTTTGCCCCTTTCATGTTCCCTTGCTTTTCTCCTTGCCTGATGAGCTATTTGGCCAATCCTCTGAAATATATTTTTAGTAATAGTCTTGTGTTTTGAGTTTTGAGTTTGCTGCATGATCATGTTAAATGTGATACAACTACAGAATAGAGATGGGTCTTAAGACAATACATTGAAAGTACTTGTTGGCAATGTATGGACATTCTTAGGAGTATCTGATAAGTCCAATGAGTTGCAGAGATTATGAAATAAATGACCAGGCTCTTTCAGAGGTAAGCTGGTAAGATGTTACTGACAATTTACATTTTCTTTCATCTTGGTTACCTTCTTGTTTTCTCTTTAGAGTTGAAATCTATGGATGACAAAATTAAGTTGCTTCAGGGTTGAACTGATTTAAATAAAAAGCTTGAAAGGGGAGGATTGTTTGGGAAGGTGTGCATTTTACATAAAATACCAAAATAGGAACTAGGGAAAGAGGTACTGCAGGAAGCTCTCCCCTTCCTGTTACCAGGGAGAGGCTGCCTGGTGGTTACTCCCCAGCAGCACCACAGTAAGAGGTGGGAGGGGTGCCAGCCCGTGTCGCGACAGTCCTGGTGAAAGGAGGAAGACAGTGCTCATGGTTTATTTCTGGGATGAGAACCCTCTGCCTGGAGGGTGCACATTTTGTCAGTGATTACTTGAGTTAGAAAGCTATTTGATTCTTTACCACAACTGAAAAATATTCCATATCAAGACACCAGCTATGAATATTTAAAGTATTAGAGAGTGTTTAAAAAATAATCAGCTATTCTTTCATGTGTGGTTTTCATTTTCATTTATAATGGCCTCTGCCAAAGCATTTGTATGCCTAGTAACTTAATTATCTTTTTTTTGTGGAACCAGGGATTAAACTCAGGCCCTTGCACTTGCCAGGCAAGTGCTTATTCTACTGAGCTATCTCTCCAGCCCCTTATTTATCTTTTTAAACTTTTTTTTCATTGGTACATTTTAGATACACAAAATGGTAACATTCATCATGGGGACTTGTTATCTGTACGTGATCTATCTTGCTTCTTTTTCTCTCATTCCTGTGCCCACTGTTCAGCTCCTCTTACTCCCTTATTATAAAATGTTTCCTTTTTTCCCTATTACTCTTTTTTTCTTGTTCTTTTTTTGCTGCCCTCCTCTTTTGTTCTCCTCATTTGAACATTTTCTTCCCATTTCCCAATGTCTGTTATACATTTTGGTCCTTATAGTAGTTCCTCGCTATTTCATAGTTTGACTTTTGCAGACTGTTTTGTTTTCAAAAATATTAATATAATTATTATAGATTTTTCACTGTATTGTGGCATTTTGCAGTACTGCACAGTATACATATGTTGATAAAATTACATAAGTTTATCAGTTTAGGAAATGGTTAAGAATATTAGAAGTGTTTATAAAAATGTGGATATTAAAATAAATATAATGTCGCTACCTCACTGATTTTCACTTGTCGCAGGGGTGTCTGGAATATAATGTCCAGGATAAGTGAGGGACCAGTATGTTAACCCTTTAGGTTTCTCAGCGGTATTTAAATGTGTGTCCGAGTTATTTCACTTGAGTATGGTTTAAAGCGCACCTGTTTAACTAGAAATGTCTCCAGCTTATCCTTTGTCGCAGGGTAGTACTCCATTGTATAAAAAAATCTCAAGTGACTTTTTAAAAATAAAGCATTGGGCCACATTAAAAAATTTCAAGAATGCTGTATCTTTATTGAGATATAACCTACACTACAATGTAAGTTAGGAACATTTTCATCACCCATAAAGAAACCCTACATTCATTAGTAGTTATTCCTTTCCTAGAAACAGGCAACCACTAATGTGCCTCCTACCACTGAGGATTGGTTTCTTCTAGTCATTTCAGACAAACGAGTAGCACACACTACTGACTAGCTTAAACACTTGGCATATTTTCAAGATTCATCCATGTTGCAGTGTCAGCACTTTACTTCTTTTTATGCTCAAATAATCCACTGGAAATACATTTTATTATATATTTATCATTTGGCAGGGATTTGGATGAAATTTATGTTCATCTACTATAAACAATGCTGCTATAAACATTTACTTACAGGTTTTTTATGTAAGTGGACCTAAGTTTTCATTGGTCTGAGGTACTGTTATGGGCTAAATTGTGTTCTACTTCCTCCAAATTCATGGTTGAGTTCTTACCTCTAGTATCTCAGAGTGTATTATTCTCCACACAACTTTCATTTTTCCTATGGATAGGTCATGGCTAAACACTTTTGGTTATGTCTTCTGAGAAACTACTGGTGAGTGGCATCAGGGAAAGAGCTCCTTTTGTAAACAGGAAGGGGCTGAAGAGACTGAGGGTGAGGGAGCAGAGGGAGGAAGCAGGTGCAAAAGGACTCACGGGTATCACACACATGAACCAAACCACGAGTGTAGTAGTCATTTTTTGAGTTTGTGCTTTTGAGACAGGGTATCACTATGCAGTTCAAGCTGGCCTTCAACTCCACGCTGGCCACGAACTCACAGGATCCTCCTGTGCCAGCCTCCCCAGTGCTGGGAATACAGGTGTGCACCACCATGCCCAGCTGGAATGTAATCATTATATGTGGCAAACATGAACTAAAAAGAACTAAGTTAATAAATAAAAATAATAAACATAAGGAAAGGGAATAGTCTCGAGGGGGGGAGGTGAGTGGAAGGAAAGAGGGAATAAAACAATCAAGAAATGTACATACTCCCTACAATGAATATAAAGCTGGTCTACTACAAACATGTAGTAATAAACAAGTAAAATATGCAATTCCTTAGCATTTAGTAATTCTGACATCATTTGTTGAGGTAAGAAAATCCATACGGTCTATGGCTGAGGAATGAAACAATTCCACAGTTTCAATTTCCACTAAAATATTTATTTAATTGAAGCTATCTTACAGAAATAAATAAGAGTAGTTTTTCTCTAATGCAGATCAGTGTATCTATCAGTATACATATATTTTTACAAAATTGAAGCATACCAAATTTTTTTCCTTGAAACACAGCACATAAAAGAATAGTAGGAAGCAAACCAACCATACGGAAAGTTTCATTATCAAAGCACAGCTACGGGCTTCTGAGTCCCAGCATCACATCGGATTAGTGGGAGCACGTGAGCCGTGGAGCTGGGCGCTGAGCCCTGGGTCCCTGCTACGTGTTACAGGTGGGTCTCTCAGTACTTCTGAACCTCTCCGCTCCTTATTGTCAGAAGAGGAATGCTATTAGTTACACCAATTTTATAGGGTTGCTTGGAAATAAACCCACAAATATACACAACAGCTCTTCATGATATGTAAAGAGCTACAAAAATAATAATTCTGGTTAATTTCATATAAAAGAATAAACGCATACTTCCCTTCAACTAAAGAATAAGCACCAGAAATGTGTGTTTTCTTCAGCTGAATGGTCACACCATGAACCTGGAGTAAGAAAATGCACCTTTGCTAAGCACCAAAGCCTCTCAGTTAAGGAGGTCCAGTGGTATTTCTATTACAGTTGTCTGGGCGGCTAAGTAGGAGCCAGTGAGTCCTACAGCCACTTAAACTCTGAGGGACTGGAGAATGCAAAGCAAAACAAGAGCACTTGTACTATGTCAACGGCTCGATGCGGGGAGCCACTCCTCCGTTACCGATTCACAGTCCATTAGCTCTTCACAGAAGAATTACCAGTTGGAGTTCATCGCTACAACTATTTGCTTATGTGAACAAAGCAGTCTCTTGATGAAAAGATAAAATACTATTCCTTTAGGAAAGAATGACTGAACTGAGGTAAAAAAAAAACCAAAAACTACTATGAATTTAAGTGTTAGTGGCTAAAAGCTACAGCTACATAAGAACACAAGAAAGGAAAACGGACCAAGACATCAGTATAAGAACGATTTAAAAAACCTGCCATAATTTCATGTTATAATGGTAGGACCAATAATCATAAAAATTGCAATATTTACATATATCAATTAAAATATATAAAAACAATAAAAAATTAAAGAGTGGAAAACAGTTAATTGTAAGGTAAATGTTGATACACTTAAAAATGCTATGTAGAGCTAATCAATTAACACTGACACCACTTAACACCTAACAGAAAAATAGGTAAAATATTTTCATTTTAGTAGCAAGATGCAGAGAGACGATTCCTACCACTGACTTACTGTGGAAGCTGAGTTACTGTGAAGTCACTATGCAAGATGTTATAGTTGAAACCTACACGACTAGGAGTTCTTACACTTCAGTATAGTTTACTTAAAATACTTCTGACAACATATTTATTGGCAAATCATGTACTAAAGACACCAAGGCCTCTTCCAAAACTGAGATCTATGTAGGTGGAAAAAAACCAGGTCATACTGAACTAGACTACTGCTTTTCTCTCTTATCCTGATTCACTGGTCTTATTAAAAAAAAAAAAAAAAAAATTCATTTTTGCTCTTTAATTTTTGCTCCATCAGATATTTTTTGCAACAAAAATACATGTTTTATTAGGGCTGGACAATCTAAAATCTTTATAATCTTTTGAAAATGGTAAATTGAAGAAGACTCAATAAATAGTAGGCCAGTGTATAACCAAAAAAGAAAACAAATTCTTTTGACTAGGAAGTGTTTACTGATGTCTACTGGAGTTTTTCAAAATGTGTACCATTTTTCTACCTACATCTATGAAGTCTGTTAATACATGAGAGAAGTGTGGAATGAAGCAAGCGGTGCTCATTCAAGCTCTTCAGGTTCTTTGGTGAACAGGTCCGCCAGATCAGCCACGGTCAGCACGGAGGCCTCTGAATGCTTCCCTGATCCGTTCATGTGACTGCAGAGTCATCCAAGGGGGTCCAGGCAGAAGGAAAGCACAAGAAATCAGTGAGCATATTTATAATAAAAGATAAGACACCTAAGCTGTGGTAATGGGCCAAACAACAAGCCTCCCAGAAGAAAGCAGGTCATGAGAAGTGCCCTGTAACGTTTGCTGTAAGGTTCAAACCTCTACAATGTACCTCTGACCAAGAAAAGCTAATTTAGAAAGAATTCAGCAGCTTTTCTAATTGTTTTTAAAATTTACTTAGCTTAAATACCAAGGTCTGTCACACAGAAGAACCTTCCTGTCCCTGTGGAGCCCTTTCCTGACCATAATCACACATGGGAGGAGGTTTTTGCCCATCCACTTCTCTGCTATGCAGAGCGACTGTGAAACCCTGTCCCTGGGGCAGTTACCTCTGCTCTGCGGTCCCCAATTCTATTGCACAGAGGCACAAAGGTATCAGTTTGTGAATATCAGTAGTTTAAGGATTTCAAAGCCAAATCTTAAATCCAAGGCTGTTTAGGTCTCTTTGCTCTGGAGCAACACCATAATCACAGCTAGTGAGTTTATCTGAGGCATGATTATTGCTAATTAAGCCTATTTCGAAGTTATTGACCAGTACTATGCAGCAATACAAGTTGAGTTTTACAGCTGTAAAACTTAAGGCATAGGTAGGGCGTAGATGCACTGCATTAATTCGGTTGTGATGGTGTGTGCAACTGAAGACACTAGTTGGGCATCTTGGGGGAGGTCGAGTCTATGGACACATGTATAGACAGAGCTGGATATGTGAAGCTGAGGCAGGAGGTAAAGGGGCATTTCCAGGTCAAGGGATCTATACTTGAGAGCCATGTTATAGTGCCGTAATCCTGAACTTTATGAGGCTCACAAGTTTGGGCTCAGTCTGGGAAATGTGAGATGCTGTCTCAAAATAAAAAGGGTTGGAGATGCAGCTCAGTGAAGGCCCTGGGTTCAAACACACCCCCTGGCCCCCATCCTGGCCTCTCAAAATGACATTTTTTTTTTTAAAAAAACTAACCCAGTGTGGTAAAGAAAAGCATGAGAGTTGAAAATGTTCCTACATATTATAACCTATTAATAATTTAAATACAGAAGTGCAAAACATTAACTGGGAAATACCAGATAGGTAAAATGTTATTTTCTTACTTTACAAAAGTATCTGTATTGGTACTTTTGTTGACTTCTTCATGAAGAAGTTTCCAACACATCCTACAGAAGTAAACAGGAAATCCATCCCTACCTCCTCTCTGCAGTTTTCAGCATTGCCTGCATTCTTTCTTCTATTGTTGCTTTAATTAAGAATCTGTGTACAATAGTAGGCCTGGAAGGGACATGACAATTATAAGGTTAAAAACACCTTAAGTTAGTAGGCACTTCTCAAAAGAAGAAACACAAATGGCCAGTAAGCACACACAAAAATGTTCAGCATTTTGGCAACTAGAAAATGTGAATCAAAACAACACTGAGACTCCATTTTACTCCAGAAAAACAACTATTATCAAGGACAAAGAACAAATCATGCTGGCAGGTTTTGGAGAAAAGGAACTATTTTATGTGACTGGTGGGACTGTAAGCTAGTACAGCCAATAAGGAAATTAGTGTGGAGATTTGTTGAAAACTAAAAATGGAAACTCCGTTTGACTCAGCTACACCTCTCCTGGTATCTTCCTTAAAGTGATACACGCACGCGTGTGCTCACAGCATCATGATTCACAACAGCTAAATAGTAAATGCTGGAACATGGACCCTCCAAGGTGACGGCAACTGTAAACAGGTATGTATCCAAACAAACAAATGAAAAAGAAACTAAAATAAACAATTATAGGAACTGGCTCTCCATTCTATATGCTGTATTCACCAGTCCATTGGTACCTGCTTGGGGCAGGTACTCATCAATGAGCTTGAACGGAGAGCAGCTCAGCACTATTCGAGCTCAGTGGACTAACCTCTCTGAGGAAAGAGACAACAAAGAAGCCAGACAATTTCATGCGGAGATAGTGTCAGGAGGAGCTGGAACATTAGAGATGGAGGGGAGGTCAGGAAATGAAGAGCAGGAAAAGCATCCAAACAGAAGAAGCAGGATTAGTTTCTGGGAAGAGAACACACTTGGAGCAAGCCTAAAATGAGTAGGGGGTGACAAAAAGCTAGTGTGATGGAAGTATTACTGTTCATGAGGGACAGAGGTGATTACAAGGATGGAGAGAAAGGTAGGGGTCAGAGCACAACAGGTTGTGCAGGACATGACTAGGATCTGCACTCTAGGGTGGTGGTGGAGACAGAAAAGCCGGTGAAGAAGTCCATATACCCACAAGAAAGGTGGTCCTTTGGTTGCATGAGTGGAGAGTAATTTGTCAGTACATTAATGGAAATACTCTGGAGGTAAAGCTGACAAGACTTAAATGATGAGTGTGAGTTGTGACAAATGAAATACAGAAGAGCACTAGATTTCTTAGCTGAGTCAATTATAGATGATAGCACCAGATTCTAAGATGAGGAAGGTTTGAGAGGGCAGCAGGAAAGCAGCTGGGATTTGCCCATGTTAACTTCAAGGTACTTACTAGCTAGGCATCTTGGGGGAAGGCTGAGTCCATGGACACATGTAGCAAACTGGATATATGAAGCTCAGGAAGAGGCTAAATGGGCATTTCTGGGGCAAGGGAAATACTGAGTCACGTATATCAGTCCAGGGACTGATAAGAAGTAGGTCATCAATGATGTTAAAACCTTCCTTTCAGTGGTATGGAAAGGCCAAAAAGCCAAATAGAAAGGCTGACAGAGAACGGGAGCAGTAGGAGCAGGAGGGAGCAGTAGAAGGAAGGACACACATTTAACTACCACATTCCCACTGGCTTGAACCGCAGACGATACTAGCCACCCAGTAGGATTATCCATGCTGCCCCCTGGGACAGTCACGCATGTACTGGGGACTCAGAGCTACTTGACAGATATACAAACTATGGCCCTGTCACTGAAGATGTTATAGATAAATAACATTGAGATATATTTATGTGGTGAGTATTACTAAAGGAAAGTCCCTGAGAATGTGAGAATGGATGGGACAAATGGGAGTGGCTGGCTTTTGAAAGCAGATACTTGTATGTGATAACAGGGAGGTGCACATTGTGCCCTCGTACTCATTACTAAAGATGACCCCTGCGTGCTCCTGCCTAACACCAACCCCACACTTCAGTGTTAGGGCCTGTGTACTGCCTTCCCAAGGATACTGAACCAGCATTCTTTTCCCTTTTGTTCTGACCCCTCATGAGTTATTTTCTTATTTTTCCCATTTGGAAGGGGGAAAAAGCTGTCTCAATTTTAGTTGCTTTCTTCTCTCTGCGGCAAAGCTCACTAAAGTCCTGGCCATTTGAGGTACGAAGGGGCAGTGAGTGGCATGGACTGCAGCCCTACTCTGCCACCACTTTCTTGAACCTGTGCCAGTCCCTCTCTTCATTGATTTTAGAATATATAAAATCACATTCTTTCTTATAAGCACTCACTTCTACTATGCCACTGAAGCTAGTTTTAATCTCCAAGCTGCTAAAAAATGATGAAACCACAATGATAAGATGCCTCATCTTGACAGCTGATAGCACATAACAGTTGGCCACATCCGCTTTACTGGTGTGATCTCTACCTGTGGCCTTTGCCCGTCTATCAATGTACCTCTTCCCAGAGTCACTTAACTCTGGGATGCCCTGGGGTTTGGTTCTTGGCCCTCTCTTCTAGGAAACCCCACTCAGTCTCCTCACTTGAAGGACCTGTATTTTGCTTCTGACCTCTGTATTAGTACCTCAAGTCTGGACTTCTCTCCCAAAGTCTGGACTCAATGTCCAAGGTTAGAATGGAAATCTCTACTTGGATATCTAATCAGATAACCAGGAGCGGAAAACTTCTGCTCTTCCCTCACCAAGTCTGATCTCCTGTAGTCTATTCTGGCTTAGCTGCAGGCTTTTAGTCATCCTTCTAGTCCTCTAGGTCAAAGCTAAGAGTCCTACTCTGGCCTCTCTTACACCCCATGTCCACAATAATAGCAGAAGCCTGCCAGGTGGCAACACTGTAATCCCAGCAGCCCGGGAGGCTGAGGGGGGATATGCAAGTCTGAGTCTCCTCGAAGTCACAGTGGAGTGCCTTTCACTCCACAGGTATCTTGAAGAATTCTTAACACTATTTTTAGATGAAACAATCAGATTTTTGAGGGAACAAAGACAAAAACTCAGGACGATTCAAGGGCTTGCTGCTTAAAAGAGGCACCGTTGGAAATGCCACATGCTTTGGTCATATAATAATCCTTAAAATTTGATTAAATACAGGTTGCACATCCAAAAATCTAAAATTCTTTAAATAGATATAACACCAGTAGAAACTGTCATACCTGACTTCATGGGATGGGTCATAGTTAAAACCCATGTAAACTAAAATTATTGTAAAATTAATCAATCCCAGGTTACATGTATAAGGTAAAATATAAAGGAATTTCCTAACTATATATGGATCCTAGTCCTATACACAAATACTCCAAAATAAGAGTATCTGAAATTTGAAATTCTTTCTTTCTGGTTCCAAAAATTTCAGATAAGAGATGTTCAACCTGTTTTTTTTTTTTTTTTTAAAAAAAAAACCCCAGACAACAATGAACACAAAGGAGAAGTTTAAGTACTGCTCTGGTCTCTAGCTGGGGCTGACCGGGATCCTTACTTGGTCTGGCCAATTCGGTGCACCCTCCCTATGGCCTGCAGCTCGTGGGCCGGGTTCAGGATGGGCTCCACCAAGAGAACGTGCGTTGCTTCAATGATAGTTAGTCCATTAGAACCCGTGTGCAGGGGCAGCAGTAAAATGTTGATTTGGGGATCATGTTTAAATGCAGAGAGGTTCTCCTAAAAAAGAAAGGCACATTTTAATTTTAGCTGGAGTAGTTAAAATAAGAGCAGAATGACATTGCTCACGGTAAAGATTTTAATGGTACGTTAGGTCACTGTGATGTATAACAGGTAAGAAAATTAAATATAAAATTACTAACTTCAGAAAATGGAAACTTGCTGCTTATCTTTCATTGGGAGGAAAATAATCATCTAAGTTCTCTTGTGCTCTGTAAAATATAGCGGATATCACAAGGTAAATGCATGTGATATACATAAATTATATGAGTTTACCAGAAAGAAAAGTGTGCTAGAATGATGCGAGATTAGAGACATGAATCTGTTAAACTGTGTGTGTGTGCCTTACAAAGTGCGCTTGTCACTGTGCTGAATGTCACGTGAGATCGATTTGAGTCACAGTACTTTGCCTGACATAGAGTCTACACAATCCCAGCGCTCCAAGACGCTGTTCAAGAGGTACAGCTGTAGACAGTCTTCTCCTGCATTAAAGGACCACAAGTCAGAAGACTTTAAAGAAACAAAGACAGTCTTTTTAAGTACTAAAAAGACTGAGAATACCTATTTTCTTTACGGAGCTTTAACATGCTAACTTCAGAATTAGTCAAAAACTCAAATCCCACTTCTGGGACTGTATGATACATGACAATAATGTAAGTAAACTAGTTAGCAGTTTTAGTTTGCACTGAATTCACTACAACAAACAAGAGTGAACCTGTAACATACCTGAAATGTTTTAACACGGCTGATTTGTGCGAATTCCATATTGTTGTCGGTAAGAGCTTTTGAAATAATATCTAATACATCTTGCCACTGGAACACATAAAACACAAGAAAGCCAATCCTTACACACAGCTTTTGTCTAAGGATGAAGTAAGGGAGTTAAATCATAGTGACTTGTATAACTCAGATACAAGTAATGCAAGCACAGCTGAGCTATAACATAATTTTCTTCTTTTGCATCAAAATTTAGTTGACAGAATAACATGAGCATCTCTAAAAATTTAAGATAAATCACAGAAAATGAGTAATGCAGTGTTTGGTGGATTTATTTACATTATCTTTCAAACTTCTATTTTTTAAAAAATGTATTTAGTACAGAGTCTACAGGTCAGACTCGTACTGATCCTCCGGTTTTTCAGCCTCACAAGCTCTGGGATTACAGGTGTGCGCCACCACAGCCAGTCTCAATTGCTGTCTCAGCACACCCTGGGGGCAGGGCCAGCATGGCACTCCGGAGCTCGAAGCCATTCCCTGCATGTGCCTAAGCAGGCACTTTAATCCACTGAGCTATCTGTCTGGCCCCAAAATTCTATTCTTTATTCAGTAAATTTCTTAAACAACCAAATTCATTTGTGAAACAAGACTTTCCAGGTCATAGATTCCAATTTTCAAAATATTGAAGAATATCTTTAATGAAATTAATATGAAATCGTAACACAGAAACTGCCTTGTAAAGTATTATCTAATTTCTCTAGTAAGAGGATATGGAAAAAAACTGAAAAAGAATCTAACTCTAATTTGTAACTGTATTAGGGCATTAGAAATTAGTTCTCAGACAAAAATGATTAGAGGCAGGAAAAAGGGCTTGCATTAATACTGCAGAGGAAAGACAAATGGTACCGTTGAGAAAACAAGGGCTTTCGCTCCTGGATCTGTCAGCTGGATTTTCATGAGCGTTCTGACCACTGCTTCCACTTTTGTGGAGTGGCTGCCCTTCGAACACAAAGAAGAAAACACAGCATTACCAAACAGCACCCACAGCAATGGGAAAGAAATGACTGAATTCTTACATGGCTCAAAACCAGTGAGCAGGTAGGTATTCAGGTATTTCTTTTGTATTTCATATTTTCTGGAAATTTTCTTTAGCTTCAAACTGTAGAAGTTCTGGCATATTCTATCAGAGAGAACTGAATGTAAAGGCATAACCAGAAATTTAAACAGTAATATAGCAAAGATAAGAATTGTTTTAGTTAAGCAGTATGTTTTGTAGCTATCAGTTACTCTCACTTATTTTAGATGTCATGGGATTCAAAACTCCAAACTAAGTAACATGAGGAATGCAATCAATGATAAATTTCTTAAAATGGCATGACCATGGACGATGATGGATGTACACTCAGACTGAGGCAGATTTGAACAAAATAAACACTTTTTACCTCATTTATAACTATTCCCTCAAAAGAAGAGGAAAATGATAAAAAAAAAATACAGAAATCAGGCAAGGAGGAAAGTTTATCGAGTGTTTCTGTTGCACCTATGAGATTTCCTGCGGGAGTGCAGAGAAATGGTATGATGGATACTAATGGTATGGGAGTCTGAATGAGATAAATTTAAGCATAACTCACTCGTCATATAGGTTCTAACTTGCTACGCCTCCTTTTCCTCATCTGTCGAGCAAGGATGATAATTACATCTACTTCCAAAGGTGGCTGTGACAATTCCATGACAAAATGCATGCACAATGTTTAGCCTCATACCAGGCATTAAGTGAACACTCAATAACTTATTACTCTCCTTCTGAGACTTTCAGGAGTATTACAATGACTCAGATTATGCTGCAGAAGCAGCTCTAATAAAAAAGCAGCAAAGTCTTTTCACAGCAGCAGCAGCCCTCCCTCCATCTTCTCAATAGCAGTTTTACATGAGGAAACATTCAAAGGCAAAAGGAAGAAAGTAATGCTAACTTGAAGTTGGCAAGACAGAATCATGGAGTAAGTTTTAAAATCCTCATGCTAAAATCCTGAGTATATGCTTATTTCTCTGGACATAGGACTTTCTATATACTTGCAAGGTTAAAAAGTATTATAAAGGGACCAGCTTCAATCTAACAATTATTTCAGGAAATTAATACAAAAATGAAAATTTAGATAGAATCATGAATTTCTCTTGCAATGCCTCCCTTTTCAAAACACTTTCAGGGACACATCAGGAAAACTATGATCTCTTACGAGAGATAGTAAGTATGAGGGCATAGAGAAGCAGGAACTCTCGTATGGTACTGGTGGAGAGTAAATCTTTACAACCCAAACAAAAAACACTTATGGAAGTTGCTAAATAACTGAAAAAAATTTAAATACACCCCACAGTTTTCAGTCATCCTAAATATACCCAAAGAAATTCAACTCAGTATGCTCAGGAGACACCAGCCTTCTGTGTCCACTGCACACTAGCCACTAAAGCCAAGATACAAGATACGACTTGGCCTAAGTATCCATCAAGCAATCAATGAGTAGATAACATGTGGTATAGACACAGGGGGATGAACTTTATACTTAATAAAGAAGGAAACCCTATCAGTTGGGACAACATGGCTCAACTGGTGGATTGGACTGAGGAAGCATTAGGGAGAGGGCTCAAAGCCTCAGGAAGAGTCAGTTCTGGAGATCCACTGTGCTGCATCGCGACGTGTGCACACTTAAAAACTGCTATGTTCTCAATGCGAAAGAAATAATTACCTAAGGCACTGGCTATGTTAATAAGCTTGACCCACTCGTTCCACAATCTATATCCATCAAAACACTGTACATCATAAATATACATAATTTTTGCTTTGTTAATTAAAATGCAACTAAACAAGGCACACTCTCTTATCTCCAAATACATGCAACCTAATGTGTGTTATAGATAATGGAGAACAATAAACACAAAGGATTGTTTATAGTGCTGTTTTGGCCTGAAAGCAATTTAAATGAATGCTTTTAGAGCATCTTAAATACTATTTTATGCATTCTGCTGCTCTAATGTTTCTATCTGAAATACATAAATGCACTTGGACTCAAATCTGCTAGTTTCTGAGAAGACTATTCAAAGTAGTTACTGCTACAGAAAATAAATAATCCCTTTGTTAAAAAATATTAATTAGGAAAAAGTGAGTGGGTAATGAACTATGAAGGCTGGATAAGGAAAAGCAAAGGAGATAACGGTGAAGAAATAGGGGGCTCGATTTATTCTTGTCCAAGGTGTTCACACAGTACAAGAAGACAGAGAAATTGGTAGCCTCAGTCCAAGCTGGCTTAGCTGTGTTAGCAGAGGCAATAACACAAAGTTATCCCAGAATGGTAAGTATTAGGGAGGCGGGAGCATGGGAATTGAAGTTCACAACACTGCCAGATCCTTTTTGAACACATTAGGTTGAAGCACTGCATTTCATTAAACACAACTGCAACTTCTGAAGCTCTCGCACCTTTGCCCATTTCCTTCTTTTCTTCTATTAAATTTCCTGAGGGCTAGTTGCAAACCCTACCTCTGGGATCTATACTTGGTTTGTGTGTGTGCTTCTGAAGCATCAATGACCAAAACCCAGTTTCAGAATCAAGACACAGCATCCTGCTGCCTTCACTCCCTTGTGTCTCTGGGACCTCTGAGCCACTACCTGATGCTCACCACAGTTGACTACAGCCCAGATGAGAGGCACAGAAAGCTGATGGCAATAGCGAGCTCCGCAGTCACAGCCCTAACTAAGCTCTGAGAGATATTAAATCTATTAGAAAGATGGAAAGAAAACTGCTTGCTTTCTTTGATATGTATTTATTAGACTGAAAGAATTCTAGCAAAAACCAACAAAGCAGCACCACCGATCTAGAATGTGATCATTCTTTCTACTCCGTGATAAACCTATCGTATCAACGCAATCCTAGACTATGGCCTGGAGTTTCATTGCAGGAAGTCTTAGCACTGGGAAAAGGAAGGGAACACACTCAGTAAAATCTTTCAGCATGGTACAGAAAGACAATAGAGCTGGCTTCACTCTATTTCACATCTATTTTCTGTCTGCTGAGAACCCTTTTTTGGGGAAGAGGCTGAAGGACAGACAACAGCTGTGGCAGCTAGAGCCACAAAGGTTACTTATGCTTAATTTATATAAAAGCAAAGCAGTGTTCTATGACTAGAAAGTCACTACTGCTTTCCCTGGGGCAAGGCACGCCATCATTGCCCTCCACCAGGAGCCTGTCCATTCTACTCCTTCAGTCTAGTTGTTCTCTTTCCTGTGCCACATTCTAACTTGCTACGCCTCTTTTTCCTCATCTGTCAAGCAAGGATGATAATTACATCTACTTCCAAAGGTGGCTGTGACAATTCCATGACAAAATGCATGCACAATGTTTAGCCTCATACCAGGCAATAAGTGAACACTCAATAACTTATTACTCTCCTTCTGAGACTTTCAGGAGTATTACAATGACTCAGATTATGCTGCAGAAGCAGCTCTAATAAAAAAGCAGCAAAGTCTTTTCACAGCAGCAGCAGCCCTCCCTCAGTGTTCTCAACAGCATTTTTATACAAGTCCTTCTGTTTACCTAATCTGGTCATAGCTCTCTAATAGCCTTTTTAGAGCTGCGTCCATGGGCTCCCATGGACGTTCTTAGCTCCACTTGCAGATGAAGGGCTAAAAGGGCTGCTGAGTCCTGAAGGACGTCACAGAGAAGTCAGTGCAGTGAGCATGGCGAATGGATTTAGTCTTAGTTTTCACCAAACAGAAGACGGAGACTACTTTTTGTCATGTGTAGAGACTACCTTATGTCAACAGGCAATACACAGCTTTAGAGATTTTTCAAACGTTATATATTAATATATATTTGATATATATGGGATCGACAGAATATAAAATCTGTGAAATCTGTCATCAAGGGGACATTCAGTCACTCTACAGTGAAAGTATTATCAGAAGTGTTAAGAACTCTGGAATTTTCTATTTATATAGAAGTCATGCAACAATTTCTTGAAGCATTAGAGCGCAGTGAAAAAGGAAATTAAAATAAAGATTACATGAATAATGGTGGTAGATAAAACTGACACAGAAATGAGGAAGGCTAGCCTCCTTTATTAGCCTAAGGCAGAAGATTCTTTGCAAGGGAAAGTTTATATAGTTACTTTTTACTTTAAAGAGAAAAAAAGTTTTAAAACTGGTTAGTAGGACAGTTACAATGCCTGATGCACTGCATAAGTTGTCTTCATAGTACTTATTGAGTACAAGATATAGGCATGATGTCTTGTACAAACAATATTAGCACAGACCCGAAAGGGAAAGTTTAAACGACAAAGGATTAGGATCGCTTTCCTTTCAACATGACTATATTCATTCTGCTTGGCTTTATGGTAAGCAGTGATTATAGTGCACTATTATATACATGTTTCCTGCTTCTTTTCTGACACTGAAAGACATGTGCATAATTAGACAATCAAGTATGAATATTATGTACAGTATAATGGATGTTATTATATAAATTAGGATACAGTAGAAAGAATAATCAAAGGAAAGGTAGATATACTAGTTTCTGTGTACTTGTAGAGTAGGAAGTAGGAAAATTCTGCCTCATCCTAGTTTTTTAAAAATTCATGTATCTTACTGAAAGTCCGACAGGTAAACTTGTTCAATGTTAAGGCAAAAAAGAGAATAGAGGTAAACATTAGTTTCTACTGGCACATTTTGTTTTTTCTGAATTTGTTACTTTCTTTCTAGTGAATGGTAGCACATACTGGCATGGTAGCACTTGCCTACAATCGCAGCACTGTGGGAGGCTGAGGCAGGAGTACTACAAGTCTGAGCCCAACTCTGGCAACTTAGTGACTTACTGAGCCTGGCTCAAAAACAAAAAAAAAGTTTAGAAAGGGCTGGGGATGTAGCTTAGTCCGAAGGCCCTCATTTTCATTCCCAGGCTCTCTCCCCACCAAAATCAATCAACCAGTCAATCTATTCTTTCTACTCTTATTTC